ATGTACAGTGTGAGTGTCATCACTCTACACTGTTTCTGTTTGGAGAAAAATGACGTGTTGCAACCGTCCCTTGTTGTTACTGTCCCCGGTCTCCCATCATCACACCTGTGTCAACAGGGCTGCGAGTGCAGAGACAACTGAGCAGGAGGAGTTCAAAAAAATGAAGAAATATAGTGTTTTAAAACACATATAGAGAGAATAAATCCTCAAAAGTTCCCCTCCTGCTGTGGAAAAGTTATGTCGAGGATAGGATTTGTCTTGAGTGGAAAAAATGAAGAAATTAACACATTAATGTGATGTTAGTGTGAAGTTACTGTCTCTCATCGAACTCAACAGGTTTGGTCCACGACAGATCAGAGTCGAGTCTGCCATGCTGAGGAATTACAACTGCGGCACCATGGCGGCACCGTATGAGTCCCTGATGGTTGCTGACATCGGGGATGTAAATGTGAACGTGTTTGATCTGAAGGACACCTGCAGGCGCATCAGGGAGACCTACAGAAAGATCGTGGCCACCGGCTGCATTCCTCTGACCATGGGTAAAAAGGACTTCCTTCACATTTTGTTCACTCTGATCCACAGACCAACATAGTAAATGATTTATAGATAAATGAACTCTGGAACATTTGTAAAATCATTAATCTTTTCTGTGGCCTTGTACACTTTGGAGCGTGTTCAGTCAGATGTTAAGGAAATGTTGTATCTGCAGGTGGTGATCACACAATTGCATACCCAATACTGCAAGCTGTTGCTGAGAAGTAAGTATATATCTGTGCTAAAAGCTCAGATGTTCTGTGTGAAAACTGTAGATGGGCTGAAATGGTGTAAAATGAACATTTAAAACAAAATGTAACGACTGAAATATTCATATCAGTCATTCTGAATGACTTTGTCGTGTAAACTGGCTTCTGGTTCCACAGGAAAGCCTACATCTCCCATTCAGTCCAAAAAGAGTAAGGAGATAAAGATCTGCATTCTGACAGTCAAGTTTTGTTTGTAAAATATTAAACCTTAAAT